GCTTGCTTAGTGAATGCATTTCATCATCTGTGGAAATGAGTTTAATAAATACGTAATTCTATGCTACAGTTGTTTCGACCAATCTTTCGCTTCTCCATATAAAATATCTGATAATAAGCTTTATGGGGTGTAAGGATAAAACTTGGACACTGTGGTAGAATATAATCCCATTATGGGTGAAATTTTTATTTTGATGGTCACACACAGTAATATTTACCGATGACGTCTCGAGCATAATTTATTGCTCGTAATCATATTCAGGTACTCACACAACTTTCTTGTCTCGTTTATATACATGAATAGAAACTGGGCTTTGTGGAGTATGCAGTATTCAGTAATGTTTTGCTAGTCTCTAGAAGACCATTTTCAGTTAGGTCTCTAGAACACTCATCTACTAGTGAAAGATTGTGTTCCACCTTGTTTTGGCTCGACAATGGGCATTCTCCTTAGTCATCGTTTTGTGATTTATTCTAACCTCTCATCACCTATTAACAGTATTCATCTTCCTAACGTTTTCCAATTTCTATTATATTTATCATATTGTATTCTTGGTTCTTCTTAGTATATATTTTGCTGTCTCCCATACCTTACCCTCCTATCATATCATCTCCACTCACTTCAATATCTAATTCTCTACCGCCTTGAACTGTCATTATGCCTGTTCATTATTATTTTGTTGAATTGTCATCTGTTGTTTACTTACTCCAATTCACAATAGGATTTCTAATCATGATTAGGATTTATGCTGATTCCTAAGTGTTCATAAAGTTACATATATAGTGATTTTATTAGTCAATGATTCATATGCACATATATACATATGTCATGTGATAACCTAATGACTAATGGTATCTTGGTCAATACTGCGTGTCTGAACATGATAGAGAAATATATAAACTAATGAAACTTTCAATCGTGAAAAACCCAAGTCTGGTTCTGGAGATAGTGTTAAGTTTAGACCAATTGCCATTACCTCTCCTTTCTTGAAACTGATGGAGAAATTACTCTTACAAAAACTCATTCCCTCCCTAAGCTTCTCAAATGATCCAAAGCAGTTTGCTTACAAACAGGGTAGAAGTACTTTGGATGCTGCTGCTGTGTTTCATCACAACATTGTATCCTCCTTAGACAAAGGGGCCAAGTATGTCCGTTGTACTTTCCTTGATTACACATCTGCTTTTGACTCTGTACCTAGAGGCCTTTTGTTAAACAAGCTTAGCCTTACACAAACTGAGTCCTGGGCTATCAACTGGCTGCACTCTTACTTCTCCAATAGGATGCAGTACACGGTATATAATGGTGTAGCTTCCTCTCCTTTGCTTACTGAAGCTGGTGTTCCTCAGGGTGCTGTTCTCTCGCCGTTTCTCTTTTCCTTCTTCTTACATGACTTACCTCTCTCAGACGAAATCAACTTCGTCAAATATGCAGATGACCTGACTGTTTCGCTTCCCGTTAAGTCTCAGTCAGACTGCTTCAAATTAAATAGCTTCCTGTCGGACATCAGTCAGTGGTCTAAAATAAATGGCCTAACGCTGAATCCCTCAAAATGCCAGACTGTCGACTTCTCCTTTAGGCATAAACGAGATCTACAAACACTAGTAAGCACTCATGATGTCTGTAGAATCGAGGGGACTATAATTGAAACAAAGTCTAATGCAAAATACCTCGGATTAGTTATATCTTCCGACCTTACTTGGTCATCTCATATCCAAATGATTTCCAAGAAAGTGTTTCGTCTAACCTACTACATTAAGAAACTCAGACTAACTGGAGTCCCTCAACCTCTGCTTACACAATTTGTCAACTCTCGTATCCTACCTATTCTACTTTACTGTTCCCCGTTAGTCTTTCCTGGGTTACTGAAAAAGGATTATACCATCCTGAGAAGGATGTTGAAGGTAGTTAGCAGGACTAGCGGTGTAAAACTCAGTCAGCTCGTCACAACATTAGTGGATAAGCATCTGAATACATGTGAGAAATGGTCTAAAACCATACTCTCTGACCCCCAACACCCCCTCTATTCCCAACTCTCTCCCTGCATCTCATCAGGTAGAACCAGAAATCAGTATAAAATAATATATGCTCGCACAACCAAGTATAGGAACTCAACGATACCATATTTGGCCCGTGTTCTAAGTGACAGAGACAATGTTAGGCGTGAAACCTATGACTTGCTTTGTTGTTAATAACATAATTTTGGCCCTTGTTTTTTTCCCCCTTACACTCTCTTATTTGTACTCTATAGTGAACAACCTTCTTAAACATACTTAGCTGCTTAAAATTATTATCATTGGCTTACATTTTTATTCTTTATTCTATTCCTTCTTTGTACATCTACTGGGTCCGACTATATTATCACTATGATTATTAAAAATTGTCCCGTCATTAACCATCATGTAACATTAGTTTTGTGGTTGTTCTTTGTTCGGCACTATTTAACTGACAATCTTGTTTGTTATTGCCACTATCACCATCTTAAAAATTTTGTATTATGCATGATTCCTCACACTGCCACTACAAACAACCGCATTAGTACTGACAAAAAAAAAACCTGAAATGTTTATCTTATGATTGCTTAGTGTTGTTCAATCAAATTAACTGATCATCTTGGCTATAAACATTTTTTTAAAGAACATCTCATAATTTCCCGTATGATTATAGCTGTTACTGTTCACCACGCATACACATATCGTAGCTTCCACTAACTAATACTGAAATATTTTTTTTCATTATTTGTGTTGATCTTCTTTTTTACTCAGTATTTTTATTTGCATTTTTTTTGGTTATTTCTTTCTTTTTTTTTTTTTTATTATATTTTTTATTTTTTTTAATAATACTCCTTTTAAATGTACGATGAAATTAGATGCAATATTGTAGATATGTGCTGAAAATTCCACACTGTACCACAAGTACTGTTTCTGGAATAAAGCGAAATCGTTATGTAATGTTATGTTCTGCAAACCTTGTTGTTCTGCTGAAGTCAGACCAATTGCAACCACATCCGTTTACCTCCTAAATAACCCTGAACAGTAAATCATAATAGTGTTTCGTTAAGACTGATAAATCTGTTAATTACTCACAAACATAGATAACTGTATTCCATCTTAAGTACTGTAATAGTTTCTCAGTTAAACATTATAATCAAATCAGTATGTAGACAAAACTAGGAAAGCAGATAAAGAGCGAATTATGGATGCAAAGCATACAGGGCAATCATGATGAGTGATGTGGCTGGTTAGTAATAATAATAATAATAATAATAATAGCTTTATTCCCAACAGTACTTTGGATACGAATATGGAATTTTCAGCATGTATACATGGCTATTTTGAGGGTTTATCGGCCGAGTTATTGATGGTAACTTCTATAGTTTAACTTCTCTGTCGTTCTTGCGTTATTCCGGTTATAAGTAAGAGTTAATAGTAAGAACGGAGACTACTTAATTCATTCAGGAAACAACAGAGAATCAGTCCTTTTTCTTCATATTGACTAATTAGACTACTGAACTATTTTTGGCTTTGTCCCCACATACACTGATCACATATGTGCATCGACGAACAACAATAATTTTAAGGAACAATTATTTCCAGTACCTACTTCTTCAGGCTCCATGAGTGTCAGACTACAATAGACAGGAAAAGTGAACTAAAACTATAACAGAAACTGTTTTGGGATACAAGTACAAGTCTGTTGGTTCTGGATATAGGTTAAACGCATACTCGTTGAGAGCATAAGACAAATGATGGCTAAACATTTAAGTGATCTGTTTGTGTATTAGTAATCAACAAAAATACAAGTCTCAGAGAGTGAGTGACGCTCCATTGTGTGAGAAGACACACACACACACACACTACAAAATAAAACAAACAAACGGGGTACTCTGATTGTAAGTTCAGGTGATGACAAATAAGGTAATGATAGAGTGCAGTGCTCATGCAGTAACTGGTAGACAAATAATGAAGACAGAGTAAGCTTAGTGAAAATCCAAAGAATCTAATAATAATAATAATAATAATAATAATATAATAATAATAATTCTAGTAACAGTGTAAAGTTAACAAGGTGTAAAGGAGTAGGAAGAATATAATCAGCCATATGAGATTATCGAGATTACCTTATGATGTTATTCAGTTTATACATGGACGAAAGTACTATTTTTCAAGCACTGATTAGATTTTCTTCTTACTGACCCTCATAACTTAAGCTACGGCTATCAGACGGAATGTCATACTTTTAGGTAGCCTGTTGGACATTTGATATACGACCGTTTATGCCTCTTCTATTTTTGATGCGGTGTTCACTTATCTACACAAATTTTGAAATCAGATCTTCGGTGGAAGACTTAGATCACGCGGAATGTATGAAGTTCATCCTGCAAAGATTTATGAAGGGAACTAATTGTATTATACTGCATTCGATACCCTCCATAACGCTCGTTTTGTTCAAATCATATTCGATCCATTATTAGATGTCTTTTGTGGCAGTCCATTACTCGGTCTAATCACCTGTAGATTACAGTAACATGTGTTACAGCGAGTCATCTGAAATTAATTATATGAGTAAGACGACTAGGACATTCTTAACAGTATAAGTATCAAACGTTTTACGAAGTAAGATTTCGTTTACGTGAAGAACATTTTCATATCCTATGCAATGTACAAAACATAACTTTATATCTTTATAAATAATGCATCTGTATTTCAGTTTGTTGAGACTGAAAACTTACCGATTCCTTCCTGCACCTTTTTTAAACTGATAAGGATTTTCGTATTACATATGAAGATGTCAACAGTGAATATCCAAATCCCATTACGACAATATCAGTTGTCATTCTGTTCAAAGTTGATAATTCAGGTGTTCATAATAAGAAATCCAAAACTGACAGCATAATCCTGACAAATTCACAGCTACCAATGCTTACTGTGTGTGTGTGTGTGTGAGTGACAGAGCGAGATAGAGCGAGATAGAGAGAGAGAGATAGAGAGACAAAAGAACAATATACAGGGGAATAAAATTTATTTCACTTCTTCGAGATATTACTAATTTACAATTATTATGAAAATTCACTAAAGACACTGCTTAGAAGGACGGCCAACAACCAGCCACCGACTGATTCAATAATTTGTGGGAGTGAATAACTGGGCCAACTCGTCAATCGTCCACTGCTGATCACCGTCGGCGTCATGTTGGCTCAGGAATTGCTTCACCGCATCGTCTGGCAACTCGCAGCCAACATCATTCTCTAAAACCTTCTTCACCTCATGAGTGGACAGTTTGCCTGACTTGTCGACATCAGCGGCCTCGAAGATAGCTTTGATTTCATCACTAAAGAAGTGAACATGAGATAGAAGAGGTATGAAGTAAGACTGGTAGGAGTTCACGCATGTACACACCACTGATGGATTAGAGAGGTGAAATTAACACAGACTAAACAAGCGCCATTTAAAAATAAAATCAATCAAACTCACTGTGAAACCATGGTTGCAAGATGAAACGGTTTCTGACGAATTCAATCATGCACAATCGAAATTCAGTTTATATAGTGGATAGTGCGTCCAATCAGGTTGTATGGCATGAAGTGAGAAAAGAAAGATCTTTCACATGACTTCGATTTCACTAGAGACGCACATGAACTTCACTGAATCATGTGTTTTCTCGAGTTACTTCATGTGATTTAAGGAACTGATTGAGGGTGATAGTTGTAATTGAGTGACAGAGTTTATGTCCAAAATGATAGTAAAAATTTTCACATCACCGGATTGTTGTAGATTCACTTTCTGCATAGTTTATTAGTAAATCTATCAACTTTTGCGAGATACTAATATTACATGTAATTATTAAATACTACTTTGTCCAACTGAAAATCTCACATTTTCTCGATATTTAAATATCGTGACTTTAAATTAAAATATTTTGTACTAACATAAGTTGCACGATAACGATCGTGCATTAAGCCGAACGGACGTGATAATTCACATTTTTTATTTTATGTAAATATTTGAATTATCGGAATTTCTTTGCAGTCACCGTATATCAGTTAATATTTGTTGAATAATGTATATTTACTTGATATAAAATTCCGTTTATTTATTGATGAGTGAAGTGCGATCTAATCCTGTTGAATTAGCTGTTAAGTAGACGTGAAAATTTTTGTGTTTATTCTGTCTAATGCTTTGATTTTCATTGTGAGTAATAAAAATGTCTGGCTCCTGGATTATCACCTTACAACTGTGATAATTGTACCATACATAGAAACATCACTTCAAATCAAACAGAACACTTCATATTCTTAACTTTTATTATTTTAAAGCCAATGACTTCTTTTATTTGCTCCCTTCCACTTCCAAGAGATGCTTGTCTGTCTTTCTGAATGATGACGAGGTCATACATGCAGATAGATAGTCACTTGCGTTCTAGTAGGAATTCGTGACCAGTGGGGTACAATAGGCTGATTGTCAGAACAAATGCTTGAGAATAGCATTCGCTAGTGGTCTCGCCATATCATAAATTGGCAGGGGTTGGAATTCATTGACCACTGGATAGGGTCCCAGTGGCTTGATGATATGAGAGCTGTCTTTGTAACCAGCAGGTTATGTGTTCGAACCTCAGCGGTTGCGTATTCACGAAGAGTTCCAAACTAGGAGGAAACAACTGTCCAGTACTCCCAGATTTTCCACCGGTTCCCTAACCGATGTCACTCCGTGATGAAATCCTATAACTAATCAATGAAATCTCTGCAAACCTACACTTGAATAGACGATATTTATATTTAAAATTTCAGAGAACTGGATAGATTGAATAAAAGGAGATACTACTAGGATTATCTACAATATGCATGTCCTAGATTCAGGAAATAAAACCGGACAGCAAACAAAAACAACTTCTAAAATTTACTTATAGGAAGGACTCAAAGACTATAGAAGTTACATAGCCAGCAACTTTGGCCGGTAGCATTAGTCTCCTACTTTGTATTCGGGACGTGGTTAGTGAAATCTGGTACATGTCTGGCACTAGTACTCCTTCCTACGGAAGTAGTTCTCCGAAAGAAACCCATTTTCGGCTTAAAGGCTGCAGATAGAAAACCTACTGTGGTCTTCGAGTAAAGGCATGTCCATGAGCGTGGACTTACGCAAACCTATTCAGTGGGTTTCCCTTCTTGATGAATTTCCTATGCTTACCATAGAACGGAACCGCGCAACCACCGCGAACTACTCGTAGATGCCGACCACTGACTAGTGGTAGATGGCACCACTAAACTGTCCACTCAAGGCATTACCTGCGTGGGTCACAGCTTTCCAATAGTTAAGAAAAAGGCGACGCTTTATCCAACTTTTCCGCTTATCGTTGATCAGTACGCGGAGCCCAATCGTCCCTCTAGCGACCTTCCGTGCACAACCAGAAAAGTCACAGCTTTGGGAAAAGCTGTGACATCCGAAGCTCTTGAAAAACTATGACCAGGGAGAAACGAATATGACCACATATTCAGTCTTTTTGTTATTCAGCCATAGTATAGCTCATGGGTACCTCCACGACATATGGTACCGAAAAAAGATAGAGACGACTGTAAACCCATCGATGATTACCTACGACTGAATGGTGAAAAAATCCCAGACTGCTATACGCGACTTTGAGGCAGAATTATTCGGCGCTACTGCTTTTTTCCGAAAATGGGCTATATTAGACCATACAGACAAATTCTGATGGTGACAGAAGACATTCCGAAAACAGTTACCACTGTGCACTACGGACTGTTCAAATTGATACGATCTCCAGTATGCTGCACCAAATTCAATTTTTTCGTTTATGAATTATTCGATGGACTCTACAATTTGTACACATACTTAGAAAACTGCTTCATCACACGTAGAAACAAAGAAATTCACCCTACGTAATTCGGCAGAGGCTTTGGTAGGCTAGAGAGATATGGGATTACTAATAATAACAAAAATGTCTAATGGGATTGGGATCACTATGATTTCATGGCCACCCATTGACAGCAACGGTATCCACCCAATAGGGAATAAACTCGAGGTATTTTCAAATTTCCAAGAGCCAAAGACAGTAAGATATCTACTAAATTTCAGTAGCCCGGCAGGTCATCGCCAAAAGAACACTTCTGAATGTGGGGCTGATATGATATTTCCCCCTCGTAAACCACAGTGTCCGTAGAGAAACTGCTAGAAATTTATTAAGTCGGAGTAATTTATTGAAGCATCTGTGGTTGTTTCCACGAAACTTTCAGAATAATACTACTTCGATTCTCTAAAGAGGGGGATCATTTTAAACAATTTTATGATGCTTCAACCAGTTTCGGTACTTAAGTTGTTCCAATAAGTGGATGTTTATAAACACAAATAATGCCACTTAGGAAATAAAAGCAACCAACTACACATTGCATGGGAACAATATTAGAAATATTATTATGGTTAAGACGTATGATTCTGTGAGAACACTCATTATAAATTGATCGGCACGCACATTCGTTTATTCCGCATTGTTTCAACTCTTCATGGGTATGATTGCGGAGCCTATACTTCAAAAAGTGGAACTAGGCACATAGATTACTGGATAAATTGGAAAAAAATCGAATATGTAACGCAAAATCCAAGTTTTCATGTTATACGTAATAGTAATTACGTAACAAAAGTGGACTTTAGAGACAGAGGAAATCATCTGATGACAATATAAGAAGCCATGAAGTTAAAATATCTGAAGTGATATTTTTCAGATCTACAAATTTCAATGATAGAAGGAAATGATTAAGGTAGTTAAGGATAACAAAATTTACACTTGCACCGAAACAGTTTCCTATTTTTATGAGACTTCTGAATGGGTATTTTATTGATACACTTGATTTCAAAATGCGTCTTTTTCAAGAAGTACTGTTAAGTTGGAATACCGTCCTACTGGTAGAAATTAAGTATTATTAAATATTGAAAATGTTATTTTGTCAATCTCCAGTATATGCTTGTTGTCTAATCAATACATATATTTGTTTTTACAAGGCAGATTAGAATTATTAAAGCCAAAACTTTAATAATTAACCGCCTACATTCATGTCGTATCATCAAAAGTAAAAGGATTCAAATATAATACTTAAAATAGTTTACCAGTGTCGGAGTAATTATGTCTCACTAGTCATATTATATAGACAAAGGTTATTTAACTGTGTTCGCTTGTCTTTTTGAAGTTTCTACGGGTGAAATGTCTCTGACCTTAAACAATCAGTCACGTTTAAAATGTCATGGAGCATTCACAAAAATCCTGACCGAAGTGAGTAAGCTTTAAGATATATCACGTAAACACTTAAATTCCATAATCTGACTTCTGCAGTATGTTATTATTGTGTCATTATTAGAAGCCCATCCGATATTTAATAAATCGAAGATATCCTTTAGGCAGGAAGAAGTACAAAGTTTAATTCATGTTGATTTTACTTAAGTGATTAATCGCTAATTATTTTGTTGGGTCCTGAAATTCACATTTCGTCGGGCAGTATGATGTATCTAATAAGCACCACTGAATTTCAACTTTAAGCTGACTAACAACAATCAGCGAGATGTGATCACATTAGTAAGCGAACTGTGATTTTCATTACATAGGATATGTCACCTAAATGTGTCACATTTAAGTTCATTAGGTCACAGATGACTAGAAATGGGATTGAAATAACTGCCAATCTGATTGATAACCACTTCAATGCCTTTAAACAATGATAGCTGAGTGAATTCCAGTGTTATAATCGTTCAGTCAGGGTAAACAGAAATCTTATCTTTATTGGAGCATGGTTTTTGATTCACTCATGATTTCGGTCGTCTGAAAGAATATCACATAAGTAATTCATCAGCATACTATCGTCAAGTCAACACTGTCTCAAATAAATTGTCCACTAAGTGACAAACATCTCCATAATGTCGCATTATTGATACATAACACTAGGGGGAGACAAAGAGTAAGATAACAGGAATTGGATGAAAGAGAAGAATAAGTAGCAAAACGATGGTGAAAAAGTAAACTTTAAAGTCGACTGAATTTTTAACTTTCAGTTCTAACACTGTACCGGTGAATAATCCCCCTGAATGACTAGCCTACAGTATTCTTCACTCAATACTTGGTGTTTACCTGCACTGTTAGGGTCTGCTTGTTAAGCTGAAAGTTCCCGGTGAAGCGTCCACGCCATTTGGCACGCTGTCACGTTAGGCTCATTGGTTCGTGCATGATCTGTAGCTAGCTAGGCAATCACTATCGTACTAGGATTCTGATCCCGAAATACATTGTAGGGGATCAAAGAAGTTCGTCAATTCAATTGAATTTCAGTCGCTTCACCGTCAACCATCAATTTGTTTATCCGTGCGGGTCGGAACACATGGTGGTCAATATATAATTTTCAAGGGACAATCACTCGGCTGCTTCGTTGTGGTGTGATTATCTACTTGTACACTCTCCTCAAATCACCGTCAATAAATACAGTGGCCGTAAGAGTTATATTCTCCTTTCTTCATCTGGAGTGGTGTTAAGA